GTGGGAACTGGGAATGACTTATTGGACACCCTTTCCCCTGGTGAAAAAATGATCCTACCTCATGATCGCGATGATGATACAGCAAAACATTTCCTAGCTGCTGCCCTTATACTGGTCCACCTAGAAAACATAACCTCAGATTCACTCTCTCCTGACATAATTCATCCCTAATACGTACACCAGTTAGTACTAGTATGAATTTACCAAGTTGTATGACTAACACAATTCATTCAGGATATACTTGAATCCTTTGTCCTTCATATCCTGTATCTACTCAATTATTCAGTTTTATTAATACTAACTCAAAACGTCTCTCACACCTGCCCCTTTCTTGTTAGTTCCACTGATAACTCTCTGTTCATAATTTCAATCTGATCTGCAACATTCTAGCTGTTAATTCTACTTATAATTTTGCCCTTTCAACATCTTTCCAACTCAACATCATTCCAACACAAGCTGGATTTTATTAAAGCACAAAGCACATTATGCTTTTTTATATTTCTCTGGCTCAGAAAAATCTGGCTTTTCCTTATCTATAACATTATTTCTCTAGATAGTTTCCAAAATATTTTATGAGAAATAGTCCTTTGACATATAAATTTGGAAATACAGTTACTATATTCTCCGATAGAAGATACTATCACACATTACCATATTAAGGATTCTTTAAAAGTTCTACAGTTGAGAAACCAATATTAATTTTTAAGTCAGGTATAAGTATGTATTAACCTATGAACACCTTTTTAATGTAACAAATAATAACATCCTGCTGAAATGCTATTGTAAGAACACACCTTGACCTAAAGGAATAAAATTGATGCTGCAAATTATCATTAAAGTTAATAGAAAATGTAAGTTATACAACATAACTATAAGTTATTCTGCAAGTGAGTAAAATGTGTTAGTTCAAATGCATAAATTTTTAGAACTGAAATGGAAATTAAGGACAATCTAGCCAAAGTCATGCCTATTATGAATCAGGTTCAGAAACATAAATTTATTTCCAAAGGTTACTTGGGTTGTGGCAGAGCTGAGTTTAGAATTTCTAGTTTATTGCCCCAATGTATAAATACTGTTTTTATTCAAGGTAAATAATTTAGCATATATTTATTCTCCACTACTATGTTCCTGGTATATGCAAAGATATTCTCACAATTCATCTTGGCATGTAACATTGCATTTTTATTTAACTCAATTGGTTGAGCATAAATTCTGTAAGGGTTAAGGCTTTCTCTAGATTTTTAAATCTCCCTTAGTGTCTAAAACATCTTGCTATGTGCAACTAGTTACCAACATGACATGACACAACACATTCATATAATATGTTCTTGCTTAAATAACTTCTGATGACATGTTAGAAG